TAAGTTTCAATTATCATTCTGCAAAGACAGGAGTGATACCGTTATGGTTGATTATACATAAATTATAAGGCCAGGACTGGGAAATCCTAAAAGTGAAATCCCAAGCTTAAGGCTACTTGCACGCTGCTTTGTATGAAAAAGCAGCAAAAACGCATATGCATTTTTGCATTGTTTTACGTGTGCTACACTACATTTCCTGCAACACATTATGCGTTTTTGATGCGTTTTTGCCACGCTTGCATTGTGTTTTCCCATATCCATTTCAATAATCTTATGCAATTGTTATGCGATTTCCAGTGCGACTATTGATGCAGCTTTGATGCAACATAAATGCGGCTAGAAGTTCTCAAGCCCATTCACAGAATTGCATGACAAGGAATCACATTATGTTCCGACTTCTGTGCGATTTCACCCCATAGACTCCTATGTTATCTCACAGAAGTCGCATCAGCATAGATAAGAAGCATTCCTATAGGACTTTGATGGATCAGTGTTTGTTTTTTTTTTACCCTTACCTCTCCTCCCTGGGCATCCTTTATGCCTAAAGGCTAGGTTCACACTGAAGCGGTTTTGATCCTTCCTTCGATCGAATGATCCTTCCTTCCTTTGAATGATCAATCAATCAAGTGATCCTTCCTTTGATTGTTCTATCTTTCCTTCGATCAATCGTTCAATTGAAGGAAGGATAGAACAATTGAATGAAGGATCAATCAATCGAAGGAAGGTCGAAGGCTCAATCGATTGATCGATCGAAAGAAGGGTTGATCGATCGATTGAAGGAAGGCTTCAAAGTCGCAGCTGTGTAAAAATCGATGGATGAAGGATGACTAAGGAGGAGAGGTGAGGGTTAAATAAACGCTGAATCCACCAAAGTCACATAGGAATGCTTCTTATCTACGCTGATGCAACTTTTGTGAGATAACATAGAAATCTATAGGGCTGAAATCTCACTGAAGTCCACCTGGAACCTTTTCCTAACATGCACTGTGCTGAGTTCATTAGAAGGGCACCTTTGAGTGTAAAGTGATTTCCCTAGTCGTGCGATTCTGTGAACTTAGGCTTGAGAACTTCCCACAGGTGCCTTGCGTTTTTAATGTGTTTTTGATGCAGTTTCTATTTATTTCAATGGAGGGATGCATTTTTGGAGTTTTTTTTTTTTACTGGACCAAACATGCTCCAAAAATGCAGCAAGCAGGATTTTTTTTTAACCACCACTGAAGTGCAAGGGTTTGAAGAGCTACATAGGATCTAAAGGGATTCAGTTGTCTTCCTCTTTTATTCTGCTTCTTTTAACTGAACAAAAAAATTACCTGCAAAAGCATCCTAGCCCTAATTACTCCTAAAACTGTTCCCTACCCGCTTCTAGCACCTAAATAACCTCTATAAGAAGGATTTGTATACTTACCTTTCCAACCTTCTCTGGTCTGGTCACGTGTCCTCCCATGTCAGCCAGCAGGCCTGCAGGGGAGAGGAGAGAGTGCTCCAACAACGGCTGGCAAAGCCTGAAGTGTTGGCACCACCCATAGGCTTTAATGGCCCATCTGTTATCGGCCCTCCCTCTTCTCCATGCTTGCTGCAACAAGGGAGCCAGATCACACGATCAGACCACAGCAGGCTGAAAATAGCTAAATATACAGATCTTTCTTAGTCTAGGTTCACACCTAAGCATTTTCTGCAGCGTTTTGAAGAAAAACACTACAGTCCATTTAACATGTTTTCCTATGGGACACGTTCACATCTTCACGTTTTCACCCGGTGCGTTTTTTGGAAAGGGTCAGGGACTTTTTTAAATTAAAAAAGTTGCATTTTTGGTTCTATAGACTTCAATGGAGATGCTGCAGAAAAGCATTTAGTGCGTTTTTGCTGCATTTTGCATTTTATTCTGCCGAGGAACAAGAAAAAAAAAACACAAAGCAAAACGCACTGCAAAAAAACACTGCAGAAATGGATCAAACTCAAACTGCATAGGTGTAAACCTAGATTTACACAGCTTAGTAAGACTAGGTCTTAGGAGAGGAAAGGGAACAGTTTTAAGAGTAGTTATAATTAAACTAACTTTAATTTAAAGCGTTAGTAAACCCCAAAAAATAAAAAAAAAGTTGAAAAAATGGTCCCCTGCAGGATAATAGCATTTTTAGGTAGGTTAAAAGATAAAAGCGTTTTAAAGGAAAAGTTCACCTTTTGACCAAAAATAATAAATGCACATTTTTTTACAAGAAAAAAATGTGCACATATTCTTTTTGGCTGCAGGAGCCTGTAAACCATTGCACCAGCGATCAGCAAATGGCTGATGCCATGCAGGTCTCCTGCAGACCTGTCAGTATATCTGCTTCCTTGTATGGGATGTATGAGCAAGCAGATGTACGAGCAAGCTAATAATTTGGCTGTGTGGGCAGAGCCTCCCATTGCCATGCTCTATTCCAGGGCCGCTGATAAAGGGGTACCCCTTGGCCCTCCTGTAGGGGGCCCGGCCCCTTCAGCTGTAGAGGGGGCCCGGGCAGCTGACAAGTCCATCGGCAGCTGCTAAATTCAATTGTTAGCCTCCTGTCATTCTATCACACAGCGGCTCAGTGTTGGGAATGTTAGAGGCACTCCTGCTCGGCTCCACAAGTTTGACACTTTCAAGTTTCCTTCTGTTTACATTTGATTGCAACTTTGTTTCTCTCCCCCAGACTGCTGATCCCTTTCTGTTCACTGCTACAAACCTCTCTTTCCTTAGGCTGGCCATACACTATATCATTTTCTTACAATTTCTGCCCAATTTCCTTTAGATTTGTCTTCAACTGTGCAGTGCAAGGGCCTGCCTAATTGGATACAACTGACAGTGTTGTTTGAGTTTGACCTCATATTATATGTTTTTTGGTAAATCTAAAGCAAAAATCCCAAGAAAATTGTATAATGTATGGCCAGCCTTATACAACTTGACACCCCCCCCCCCCCCCCATCATCACCTGTTCCCTCTGCAAACCTATATATCACTGCCCAATCTGTTTATTTACTGATCTAGTTAATGTGTCCCATTTCCTACCTACAGCTCAGAACTGGCATTATTGTAAGATTCCTAATTGTATCTCACCACTAGTCTGCTTACATTCACAATTCCTGGTCAGTCCCGTTCCCTTACCTATAATAACCTTTAGGGCAAGTTCATACTGCATGCATTTCAGTTGCTTTTTTTCTGCATCCAAAACGCACAGAAAGTAGGTTATATGGTTGTCAATGTCACATCAGTGCTTGCAGTTCCAGTGCGTTCTGGTTGTAGAAAAAAAAGTAGAACATTCTGCATTTTTTCTGCACAGAACTGTACTGGGAAGCTGTAAAACGCATCAAAAACACACCGGAACGCACAAAAAAAAAACTGGTCCGCACAATTAAAACTGAAGAAAAAGAAAGGGGAAAATTTTTTTACTGAAATGCATAAAAATCGCACTGGAATGCGGTAAAAATACATAAAAAAAACGCACCGAAACACGCTAAAGAAGCGAATGCAAAAATGCATTCGGAACACATCTAGACTGCATTTCTATAGTGTGAACCTGCCTTAGTACTTGTTCACACCATTTGTGGTGCAGAAACGCATGCAAGAGCATGGATTCCTGCACAGCAAAGAAACGCAATGCCATTTGCAGATGTGTGAAGGTACCATGAATACTTAATTGCACCTCCACACATCTAGTAAACACAGATGCATTCACAGCCACCAAAACGCATGGTACCACAGTACTGTGCGGTTAGGTGCAACACACTTTTAAAATAATATGCCTGCAGTATTTTTGCATGTTCCCACACGTTAGGCAGCCCATTGAAATTAATGGGCTGAGGAAAAAAATTGTCAAAAATACCACATTCACACAGGTTCTTCTGGCCTGTACAACGTGAATGAGGGTGTTATTCATGTGACTGGACCCACCTGTTATGCTATAAGGACATAGCAGCTGTATGAACACAGGTTTTAATCTGACAGGTGTGCGGCGTGGGGAAGTGGCCCTGAATGCTCACTGTCTATGTTCAGGGCTGTACACCTGCACCCATATGCTTGTCAAATTAGGAGCTGCAGTGTTTACATAGGTTGCCTGCAAATGGCTCCAAGTGGCTCCAGCCACATGGTACGTGTGCATACTAGCACATTATGAAAAACCTACCTTAAAACGAAGCCCTTCAGCTGCGCACTGCCACTTCTGTAGGCGCTTCCACCTTCACCCTGTATTCCCTCCAGGTTCTTGGGCTTCAGCTGCTTGATTAGGCGAGCTACAATGATGTCACTCCCGAAAACACGTGCACGAGAGTCACAGCCATGGCATGGCTATCTTAGTGGACAGCACACTGTCCAGTAGCCTCCCTAGCGGTCTACAAAAATAATTACTACTTTTATTTTCTGCTCCTAGATCAGTGTTTCTCAAATTTTTTCAGTCAAGGCACCCTTTAAAAATGTACACAGTCCCGAGGCACCCTTTAACCACAAGCCTACAGGGCACTTATACCCCCTTCCTGCCCAGGCCAATTTCCAGCTTTCAGCGCTGTCACACTTTGAATGACAATTGCGCGGTCATGCAACATTGTACCCATATGAAATTTTTATCATTTTTTTGAGACAGATAGAGCTTTCCTTTGGTGGTATTTAATCACCTCTGGGATTTTTATTTTTTCTTAAACAAACCAAAAACCACTGAACATTTTGAAAAAAAAAAACGTTTTTTCTTAGTTTTTGTTATACAATTTTGTAAATAAGTAATTTTTCTCATTCACTGATGTGCGCTAATGAGGCTGCAGTGATAGACACTGATAGGCTGCACTGATGGACACTGATAGGTGGCACTGATGGGCACTGATGAGGAGGCACTGGTAGGTTGCACTGATAGGCATTGACAGGCATCACTGATGGGCACTGAAAGGCAGCACTGATACATGACACTGATTATATGGCACTGATAGGCAGCACTGACTGGCACTGATAGGCAGCACTGACTGGCACTGATAGGCAGCACTGACTGGCACTGTTAGGCGGCACTGACTGGCAATGATAGGCGGCACTGATGCGCACTGATAGGTGGCACTGATAGGCGACACTGACTGGCATTGATAGGTGGCACTGACTGGCACTGATGGGTGACATTGAAAGGCAGCTCAGATGGGCACTGATATGTGGCATTGATGTGCACTGGTATGCCCTGATATGTGGCATTGATGTGGCACTGATGGGCACTGACTGCTGGCACTGCTGGGGCTACACTGATCATCAGGGCACACTGATCATCAGTGCCCTGATGATCAGTGTACATGTCCCTTCCGCAGAAAGCCGATTACTGACTCTCCTCTCCTCTGTCAGCGTGACAGCTTGAGAGGAGCGAAATGCTGATAACCGGCATTTCCGTGTTTACATGTGATCAGCTGCGAGGGACACAGCGCACCGGCAATCGCCCTACTGTGCACTCCCTGAGCCTCGCATGCGCGGTGAGAATGGAAGGACGCCATATGACGTCCTATCAGAACGAGAGAACCACCTTGCGCCCGTCATTGTACTATATGGCGGGCGGAAGGTGGTTAAAATTATGGACAGTCCCAAGGCACCCCATTCTAAAATGTGAAAACTATATAGTTTTTTATATAACGCAGCAACATCCACACATGTAGGACACCCAACATTAGAGGTGATTTATTCTTCCAAAGCAAATACACTTTTGCACACCGGTACTGACTAGTTTTCCAATGTTTCTCTTCTCCCTCAGTTTTTCTCCATCACTGAGCTGAAGTGACCCCAGCACTGATGGAAAGGGGTGGGGGAGGGTCATATTAGGATGCTGTACAGGCAGCTGACATCCTCCTTATCAACTGATGATGTCATTGGTTGTCAGGACACTGACAGCTAGAAGGTTGTAATGGTGCACAATGAAAACCTGTGGCTTTGCGTAACTAAAAGGCAGTCTTGTTCCACCCGCTGGCTTGTTTACAAGTTTTGGGCAATTTTTAGACATTTTGCCAAGGTACCCCTGAAGAAACATTAAGGCACCCCAGGGTGCCAGGGCACCCTGGTTGAGAAAGGCTGTCCTAGATGCTGAAGCTAAAAAAATGCTAATAGCCTAATGTAGTGTGCATGGACACATAGGATAACACTATTAAAGTAGAGTTCCACTCACCTGTCAAAATATAAAAGTCAGCCGCTACAAAAACTGTAGCTGCTGACTTTTTAAAAACAGCCACTTACCTGTCCCTCGGTCCTGTTGTGTGTCCCCTGCAGCCTGTTTTACTGGCCGTCTTCTCTCCCTGGCGCCGGCATCTTTAGTGTGGGCACCTGGCTGTGATAGCTTGCGGCTTCACAGCCGGATAACAACTGCGCATGTGCGAGTAGCGCTGCGCTTCATGAATGGTCCTGTAGTCTTCTGGGACCTCTCACGTGTCCCAAAAGACTACAGGGAGGGAGGACACCTTCCGCTTCCGATCACCTAGATCAGGGGTGGGCAAACTTTTTGACTTGAGGGCCGCAATTGGTTCATATATTGGACCCGGGGGCCGGACCAAGAGTAGATGAATGATGTGTATGTGTCATCCATAGTAAGTATAGTAATATTCCCCCATAGTAAGCATCGTAATTAATCCCCCATATAGTAATTCATCCCCCATAGTAATTCATCCCCCATATAGTAATTCATCCCCCATATAGTAATTCATCCCCCATAGTAATTCATCCCCCATAGTAATTCATCCCCCATAGTAATTCATCCCCCTTATAGTAATTCATCCCCCCTATAGTAATTCATCCCCCATAGTAATTCATCCCCCATAGTAATTCATCCTCCATATAGTAATTCATCCCCCATATAGTAATTCATCCCCCCTATAGTAATTCATCCCCCTATAGTAATTCATCCCCCATAGTAATTCATCCCCCATATAGTAATTCATCCCCCATATAGTAATTCATCCCCCATAGTAATTCATCCCCCATATAGTAATTCATCCCCCATATAGTAATTCATCCCCCATAGTAATTCATCCCCCCTAGTAATTCACCCCCCATAGTAATTCATCCCCCATAGTAATTCATCCCCCATAGTAATTCATCCTCCATATAGTAATTCATCCCCTATATTGTAATTCATCCCCTATATAGTAATTCATCCCCCATAGTAATTCATCCCCCATATAGTAATTCATCCCCCATAGTAATTCATCCCCCATATAGTAATTCATCCCCCATAGTAATTCATCCCCCATATAGTAATTCATCCCCCATAGTAATTCATCCCCCATATAGTAATTCATCCCCCATATAGTAATTCATCCCCCCTATAGTAATTCATCCCCCATAGTAATTCATCCCCCATATAGTAATTCATCCCCCATAGTAATTCATCCCCCATATAGTAATTCATCCCCCATATAGTAATTCATCCCCCATAGTAATTCATCCCCCATATAGTAATTCATCCCCATATAGTAATTCATCCCCCATATAGTAATTCATCCCCCATAGTAATTCATCCCCCATATAGTAATTCATCCCCCATATAGTAATTCATCCCCCATAGTAATTCACCCCCCCCTAGTAATTCACCCCCCATAGTAATTCATCCCCCATAGTAATTCATCCCCCATAGTAATTCATCCTCCATATAGTAATTCATCCCCCATATTGTAATTCATCCCCCATATAGTAATTCATCCCCCATATAGTAATTCATTCCCCATAGTAATTCATCCCCCATATAGTAATTCATCCCCCATATAGTAATTCATCCCCCATATAGTAATTCATCCCCCATAGTAATTCATCCCCCATTCATCCCCCAGTAATTCATCCCCCATATAGTAATTCATCCCCCATATAGTAATTCATCCCCCCTAGTAATTCATCCCCCATATAGTAATTCATTCCCCATATTAATTCATCCCCCATATTAAGTCCCCAAGTCCCCCCTGTGTCAATTCACTTACCTTTGCTCCGCGCGTTCCTCTCGCCGTGTTCCCGCGCCGTTCTGATGTAGCTTGAAAATCTGTCTCCTATGAGGATCTGTCCCCCTCGACGTATCTGCGCATGTGCCAGTTTCAGGCATTAGCAGCCGATCGGCGATCTCCGGCACATGCGCAGATATGTCGAGGGGGACAGATCCTCATAGGAGACAGATTTTCATGCTACACCGGTCTTCAGGGAGGACTGTGAGAGGAGCCTAGCTCCCCTCGCGTTCGTCACGCTGCCCCACCTACACACACATCCTGACAGCCATCCTGACAGTATCACGCTCCGCGGGCCAGATTAAAAGGTCCGCCAGGCCGTATACGGCCCGCGGGCCGTAGTTTGCCCATTGCTGACCTAGATGATCGGAGCGGAAGCGGGAGCGGGTACCTGTCAAATTCGGGTACCCGCTCCCCCCCCCCGCCTCCCACAGGTGCCAATCCTTAATGGGGAGTGGGAGAGCAGTCTTTAAGCGGAACTTCCTCTTTAGGGTGGAGCTCCGCTTTAAGCTTCTAGGAGCAGAAAAAATGCTGATAATAGCTTTTAGGAGCTTAAAAAAAACGCTAGTGTGCATGGAGCCTGAATACCCAATCATGTTTCCATCCAATGGAAAGTAAAAAAAATTGATTTATTGATTGATTGATAGATTGACTGATTGATTGATTGAACACAGTATGGCTGTATTCGCTAAGCTCAGTGATCTTTGCCTTAGCTAAGTGAACATTCTCTGCCGCGGTTGTCCTGGGCCAGGTATGTTTGTGCATTTCCTGCACGTACATGTGTTTCTACTGTTTATATTTTGTTAATCAGACCAAGGCATCTCTTCATCTCCCAGGATGGACACCACAACAATGGAGCTTCTGAACTTAGTAAATCAGGCCCCGTGTGTCGGAAGTGTGTGATTTCTCAGCTGTTTATCTTCGTGTCCCTCTTCGCATGCAAGGAGCCGTGAATGACAGAAAGCTGCTTTGCAGGGTGTAGCACAATGTTGTTTCCCTAAACCTCGCTCCACCCTTTTTCTGGTTGCAGATTTTGTGATATCCTCACACTCGCACGCTATGCCTGTCACACACAAGTACACACACACATATATGCAGATGAACACAGACCTGCTAAGGTGTTGGAAGTCACGTGCGCGCCACATTGAAGGATCAGAAGCACGCTAAGGGCGTGAGGTGTATATATTAATCAAGTTCAGCGTTCGCTCTTTTTTGTGTAGCAAGACTTTACTGAAAGATATGAGGGCTGACTGATCCCAGGAGCTGGATCTCAGGCCAGGGGAAGGACACCTGTGGCCGGAAGCTTCTATAAAGATAGGAAAGATGACTCTTTTCTTCCACCAACTACAGTTACCTGTTTCTTCCCTTGTTCTGTGTAACGAATAGGGATCGATTTATTAAAGGCAAATAGGCTGTTCGCTTCGCAAGGGAAGTAGCAGAGCTTAGTGAATGAGGTGAAGTTCTGCTGACTTCCATTATCCAATCATGTGCAAGCAATTAAGGTTTTTTCTTATTTTCCTTACATGTGATTGGATATTCTTTGTAAAGTGCAATTTCACCAAATTCCCTTTCAAAGTACAACTTCCCTTGCAAAGTGGACAGCTTTTTTGCCTTTAGTAAACTAACCCAGCTGTACCTGTACTCCTAATATAGCAGTTTCCTTTTTTACCGCTTCCCTACCGCCCTATAGTAGAGCTACTGCTACAGGGAGGCAGGAATGCGCAAAATCACGTATATATATGTGATTTTGCATTTCCGGGTAGGGGGCGCACGCCCCACCCTACCCATGCCGCCATTGGCGGCTACAGATGTTGATCACCAGGTACCGGATGGAGATTCCCCAACGGCACCCAGCGATCACCAAGTATCACTGACAGGGGAGAGACCTGTATATAAACAACACAGGTCTCTCTCCTGCCAGCAAGAACATGCTGCTGTGTATTTCTCTGCACAGCAGAGAAATACACAGCAGCATGTTTCCCTAGTAAAACACACACAGTAAAACAGCACATAATTAACCCTTTGATCGCCCCAGATGTTAACCCCTTCCTGCCCACTGTCATTATTACAGTGTTAGTGCTTTGTATTAGTCACTATGGATGTCAGTGGCAGTTAGTCAGTTACCCCTCAGTGTCAGAATACCCGCCGCAGTCCTGTTAAAAGTCACTGATCACCGCCATTACAAGTATTAAAAAAAACAATTTCTAGTATATATATACACCATAATTTGTAGGTGCTATAACTTTCACGTAAACAAATTAGTTTATACATATTTGATTTTATTTTAGCAAAGACAGCAGAATATATTTTGGCCTAAATTTATGATGAAATTTGATTTTTCAAATTTTTTTACTAGATATGTTTAATAGCAAAAAGTCAAAAATATTGTTTTTGGTTTCAAAATTGTCGGTCTTTTTATAGCACAAAAAAATAAAAA